TTAACGCATTTCAATCCCCTGTTCAGTATCCCTAGACAAAAAGGCGTTGTGATATACTAGTGGAGGGGAGGGGAAATACCCCAAAAAGAAAATCATGGAGGAGAACTAACTTTTAGTTGCTTTTGTTAAATAGAAACATGCAAAAGAGTAGTTATTAGTTAAGCAAAACGTGAATTGTATTCAAAGTGGCTGTGATTTTTGAATCATGAGTGGAAGTAAAAACTAAAATTGATTTATAGTATGTAAAAGCGTGCCTGTGTATGTGTGCACTGTAGTCAGTACCTGATGCTGTGCTATGTTAAGGACCCAGGCCAAGCGATTTGCAAAATAAGCTATAAATTCCAGGACAGAGCAAACCAAGTCTGTCTATGGGCACGTGTATCTTGTATATATCCTCACCCGCTCCAGGTTTTCAAGGCTTTCTGGCTGGTCTCCTTAAAAATGTTTTAAGAGGATTATTGCTCAGGCAAAAGGTGATGCAGAGTTTCCAAAGCAGCAGAAGCTCTGCTCACCAGTAGCAATTGTCATTTCTAGGAGACTACCTATTTTTAATCTGTGAATAAACAAATGACTTGCATTCATGTGTCTGAGATGATATTCATATGGGTCTTGGAGAATAGGAAAGAGAAAAGGGGGTGGTGCTATGCTATCTAAAGTAAGGAAATAGAGTGTCAAATGTGTGTTTAAATATTCCCTATTTAAATCCATATTTGGGGAATATTTTAAGTTGTGTAAGGCCTTAAAAATAAAAAACATTGCATCCTACCTGTCTTTGCCTGTGGAGATACTCTTTACTTAGTTATCATGAGAAGGTAGTTTAGAGAAAGAGTAAATATGCATCATCTGGAATGTGAAGCAGTTAGGTACAAGCCCTGTTATCACTGTGGTCATCTGACTGCCCCTGGAAAATTGTGCTGCAAGTGAACGTGCAAGGTGGAGGTTCAACATGATTGCGTTTGAGTACTTGTCTTTGTAGAAAAACATCATGGTCTTTGCAGCTGTTTAGAAGTAAAGAAAATATTTGGAATACAAACACTGTATGAGTAGATGGATCTACATTTGGAAAAAGAGAGGAAAGTTGGTTTATTTTTGTTCTGTTATAGCCAGGATTATTTTTAATAGAATAATTAGAAAAAACATTTTTTCTCTAATAGGTGAAAATTTAGCTTTAAAAAGGCTGTTAGCAATATCCTTTCCTGGTATCAGTTCAAGAAGTAAATGGAGCTGTTTGGCAAGTATGGATATATCTTTAATTATTACAGTCTATAACATAATCTTGCTCAAGTAGGCCTAAACTAAAAGTAAAGGCAGTATCACAGAAAGTCAGAATACAATAATATTTTCCATTAACTTTTCTTCACGTTATAATTATCAATTTATTTTCACTAAAATGATCCTAAATTTACTACTGTAACTCGCTTTTTAAAGGTTTAATCATAAAATATATAAATGCCTGTGTATATTTTCCAAATTCAACATAGCCTGTATTTAAGGGATGCCATGTCTTGCTCCATAGGTTATTTGTTCATAAAATCTTTCATGAAAGACTTGGTGGTTGGATATAGGTTCCTCATCTTTAATATGCAGCAAAAAACCACATGTTTTATTCAACAAGTCAGATCAGTGAGTGTATTCAGACTATAAATTTGTGTATTATGTGCAGATAAAAAACATTCAATGCCAAAAAAACTGGGAAAGAAATTTCCAGTTCAATTTTTTGTTTGGGTTTATAAAAATAACTGTGGTGCATCAATTACTCCCTATTGCCATGGATACAAGCAATACTTTATTATATAACTGTACAGCTGTGCTCAGTTTTAATATGAAAAACAGGCTTTTTCATCTTTCTATTTCATAGTTACTGAACTGAGATAATAACTTCTCCTTTTACCTATGAATGTATTCAATTCCTTTAGCATTCTCTGAAGTATTATTGATTAGAATTTCATTAAGGCATTTATAATAAAATCTATAGTAAACGCTACTGTTCTCCTACAAGGACACTATGAATGAAGGTTATTCTTTTATAGATTACACACATAATAGATATATACCTGAACCATATTATTCATGTTAAAAAGTCAAGCTTACAAAAGTTGCAGAATATCCAAATTAAGGATGTGCATAAATATTATGGTGTAGTCTTTACTTATGCTTCTTATGCCTTATTTAAATCTGGCTAACAATTTATAATAATAACAAAATTTATTTCATGTAAATCTGACAGAATTATAGTTCTCATTGTCTTTTCTGTAGAAATTATCACAATAATATGAAAACTTTTATAAATACTATTACATTTTTCTTCACTACAGCCCCGGATGATATCTCCATTTTACAGCTAAGGATCTGAGAAGCTCAGAGATGATTGTAACAATTTATACATCTGAGAGCTATTAAAGCTAGTGCTCCGCATGGCCTGATTTTTCACCATACTTGATGTGGCTTTTGAAGTGTTGAGAGCCTTGTTCATACAGACCTGGCTCAGAGAGCTAAGCTCATGCTGCAAGTGGGTCTTGGAATCTGAGGAGCAGGCAGTTAGCAATGTCCTATGGAAAATGTGGTTTCAAGAAGTTGCTCTTCAGGCAGCTCTATATCAGCCAGTGTCATAGATCAGGACTGCATGTGTCATCCTGAACTGGCCTCCCACTGCTTCAGCTCTTGCATCTGCACCATCATTAGAGGCTCTCAACCTACTTTGTCAAACACCCATCACTTCTAATATGTGACTGTTGCAGGTTCAATATATAATCTACTCCTTTCACTTGTGTGTGAGCGTGTACATTATCTATCAGCTCTGGCCGCTGCAGCATTCCAGGGATACTCACAGGAGCTGGACTACTGACATAGATAGAGCTAGACTACCAAAGTGGGATTTTCTTGTGAGTATATGGAGATCCCCACACATGCCAAGAGGAAAAGTTTAGGCTCCAAAGTGACACAGCAATGTGGAGAAGCTGCTTGGGGGGAAGTAGGTGTAAACAGCAAGCAAACCTTATGGAACTACAGCTGACTATAGTTTTATAAGATCTTTTGTATCAGAACTTCTCTTCAAGTACTTACTACCAACATCATTAGTCTCAAGTTTGACATGTTTGTTTTTTTGTTTTGCTTATGTAAATAGCCCATTAGGGGAAAAGATACTTTCTAATTACATAGGTAATTTTTTAATAGTAGAAAAGGAGGAAAAAAAAAGTACCAGTCTTAATGGTGCTGTTCAAGTGCTGCTCACATGCCTCCATTTAAGAACTGTAATGATGCAACTTGAGCACTCAGATATCTTTATTTTAGGAAAATCAGAGCAATACAAGCTGTACCAATTCAAGTGCTGCTCTTTAAAGAGATGAGTCTATTTATTCTAATTTCTTTGTGTTGTGTAAGAATAGGCCATAGGAATATTTACAGCTGATAATACCTGTAGATATATGCAAGGTAGAATAGATTGCATCAGTATGGTAGCAGGCCAACTATCTCTACATGCAGAGGTATGTAACTGTTTTCTTGATCGAAATGGCTTAGTGCTCTTGTTTGGCACCTCCTTTTCCCTGCAGCACTGCCACAAATGATATAGTGAAGGACATGGATTGTGTACACCTCCTTTAATGACTCTACTTCTCCTTCCTCCCAAGCACTAGAGGTTCTATAGAAATAGTGCTATGTGCATATGTATATGTGTACATACATGCATACATAAGTGCCTAACAACTCTGTTCTCTTGTGACTGCTCTTAGTGAGGGCTGTACTGCCATGAGAATGTTCTCATTTCATTCTTTCTTAAAAATCTTTATCTTATTGCATATCTGGTAGAGGATTTGTTTTGTAACTGTGACTCCTTAAACTGTTTAGTTTAACTTAACTAAAGGTAAACTTTAATGCTCCTGAGATCATTTAGGTTTCAGGGTTTTTTATTATGAAGCTGACAGTTCAAGACTTATTATCTCAATGCACCTGAAGGAACAAAAGTCATGAAAAATCATTCTTCACCCACCCCTTCACTAGAAAGGATCACAAACAACAGCAGTGGTTATGTTGAAGCTGTGTTTTGAGGCACATGGAGTCAATCTGAGATGTGTTTTCAGCATGTAACAGTTTGCTGCAATTAGAAAGCAGCATTATCACTTCAATTAGCCTTAGGCTTAATCTTTCCATTTCTATTTAGATCATATATCAACACTACGAGTTCATGTTGTACTTGTAAGTAACGTACATCAAATATATTACAGCTTTGTTTTTCCTTTTTAATGCCTATTTGACACGCTATTTAAAATGCGTTTCATTTTACACAAAATAATTATTCATATATTAATTGTGCACTCATCTTTTCTTCAGTGCTCTTTGTTTTCTGATTAAGTTGAATACAAGTCTGTATATTGCTGACTTCCAGTTCTGCTACATCTTAAACAGAGCCATTATGAATCCTGTTTATAATGGTACCATTAAAAATGATATGCTGTCAGGAATATCTTACAATGATGGAAAAGAATGTGTGTATTATATGACTATATGGTTTTAAAATTGTAATGGAATGCTTTTAATGGACTCAATATAATAAATCAAGCATATCTTCCTTGACTTAGCTATGTTATACCCTTACTAATTCTCTCCTATGAAGAACTGTTACTTAGTTTTGGAATATTTCTTTTCCTTCCAGCTTTTTGGACATTGTTCAGAATTAGATTTTATGCTTGTATTTATTTTAAAGGTCAATTATTGGTGATATTTTTTCAACAGATTTGTTATGTGGTTAACTGGGTACAATGCAAAGCACTTAGAATGTTGTGCAATTTGAATTCCAAGTGATAAATGCCATTAGAAAACCTATGAACTCTTTAAAAGGAGAACTTAACATATTCCTAATGGTGAAATACTGCTGGCTGTTACAGATACTTGAGATGATTCTGAGTGCAGCAGAAGTGCTGTAGTTGTGTGGAGCACAGCATGAGTGTAAGGGGGAGTCCTCGCCTATTGCTCCAGCCAGCAAAGATCATGGGGGAGTCTGAAAGAGAAGTGGATGAAGGACGACCTTAGGTAGATCCATGGTTATGCTAATTTAAAAGCCTTGAAAACAAGATTGTCAAGGTAACTGTTCCATCCCAAAGATGCTTCTGGAGGCTTTTTGACCCAATTGACTGCTTTTGATGTGAATTAAGTGTTTTAAGTGTTAATAGAAGATGAACATATTTGCTTGTCTTGTTATCTCTTGTCTACTTACAGATTGGAGTAATACAGAAAGGATTGTGGTTAGCTGAAGATAGAAACATTTCTATTTCCTTTATTGTAGGTGTATGAAGCTAAAATTAAGTTTAGGACAGGGTTGTAGCCATATCTATTCCAATTGCACCTGTAGGGGGAGAGTTATTTGAGAAGTGTGTTATGGAGCTATACAGACTTCCAATCAAAGACTGTCTACTTGATGATGCTTGGATAAAAAAAAAAAAAAACCACCTTTAAATGCATCATCCCTTGGAACATGTTTTATGATATTCTACAGCTCTACGCTATAAGACAAAATCCTGTACCATCATGTCGTTTGTGACTGAATAACAGTGATGATTTCTTTTCTCAGATATGTTCAAAATTCCAGCATAATATTATTATACATTTTTCAGATGTCTGGTTTGTTCCTTGAGGCAAAAGGCATGTAGATTCCTAAGCAGACAGAAGGAAGATAAATAAAACACCCTAAATATTCAGTAGTTTAAAATGAAGGAAACAAAAGCAGTACACTTGACATGTACTTTTGTTTTTGATTTCTCAAATATTTAATTCACAAAATACTTAAACAAAATTTTTTTCTCAGAAGTTCTCCTTGGTTTCTCCTATGGAATTAGTGACTTTAGCATTTAAGAGTATTGTATTGTTTCTGATGGTAATATCACAAGAAATGGCGTGACCTCAAACCCCGGAATTTTAGAGAACTTGTAGCCTTCTGTCTGAATCTGAGTGATTTTAATTTATAATTTTTTAATCTTACAGTAATTTATCATATTAAGAAAATAAAATAAGTGAGTCTGAGATAAAGAATACTTGAGTATCTTGGATCACTCTTTTAGAATTCATGTATTTTGGCAGATGAATTTAGAAAAATTGGAGAAAGAGAATGCATCTCTTGCTAGTCATGATTGTGCTGTGGTCCTCTGTGCTGTTCCAGCTATGCTTGTGTCCTCTTTCCTGGAGGCTGCTCCCTTGTCACTACTCCTAGAGCAATTAATCCTCAAATTGTTCTCAAACTTCATTTGGAGCTAACGAAGTTTCAGAGAAGTGTTAGTCTAACTCCTTTTGACTGAACCAGAGTTAGGAATGATTATGGGAATTATTATTCTGGACCATCTACGAGGGTGGGAACCTTTCAAATTGGAACAGTATGTGTGAACAGCTGCAGGTATTTATCACTTCTGATTGTCATGTATTTTTTCATTTACAGGATGAGACACAGGTTGTTGACTGGAGCATAATATAAAATATTTCCTTGGAAAAGTTGTGATTACACATGTCCCAAAAATGTGTTCTAGTTAATGACAGCCATGCACTCTGCCCTGTTTGTTTTTTTCTTGCCTTCTCTCAAAGAGAAAGGAAAAAAAAAGGAAAAAAAATTACATAAACACATTAAATATCACGTGAAATAATAGATTAAGATCCAAATTATTGTTAGGGTACTAGCCTAAAGCTACTAATGCATTGGCTGAACTTTGCAAAGGATTTTAATAGAGCTTTGATTGCCTTCATCATGGATCTTTTACATTAAATTTACATTAAATATGTTATAAGCAGAGCAACAATCCTCAGACAAAATTCTGATTAATAATGTGAAGTATTATGCGATGAACTTAGAAACTTCATCCTTCATTTATCATTTAAGGAGACTAATCAGATTCACCTTATTCTACTTTTAGTTGAAACTTTGTCCGTGACATGGAATATACAGATTGTTTTCACTGCTTTTTTAAAAATAATCTATTATAGAATCTTCCTGTGTTTAAAATGACAACTCAATTTTGCCAGTTTTTGCTAAAATGCTATACCAATGCCAATTTTGCTAAAATGCTATACCTAGAGTGCCATCATCTTGTATGTCTTCTCGTTGGTGAATCTTTAGCAATAAGCAGAAGGAGCCACACATGCAAAAAAACAGATTTTACCAGAAGTCCAGAACCTGACAGCATTCCTAAAGGTATCTTGAATGAGAGGTTAAACCATCTAATAAATGTGGCGCATCTTTTTTGCATTCCCCCTCTGATTTATGTGACACAGAACAGCTCTGCCTGAATCGAGCATTGCTCACTGCTTACATGGGGAGAACAATGGTCCGATGTATTTTTGGTGTACTGAAAGGGTTAGGAGATTTAAGGACTGCACTAATGATAAATCAATATTTAAAAGCTATTCTTATGTCTTGGCCATCCTGGTCCAAGGATTCTTTTCAAAAGGTTTAGGCCTTAATAGGTTTTAAACGACTGAGAAATACTGATCTGTCCGATGCTGGTCTGGTAGTTGGGTGCCTCCTGATGAGATTCACAAGCAGCAGTGAACTCATCAGGAAGCCATCTGCCGCAAGGAGGCTTCATGAACTGCAGCCTTGTGCGACTCGGATGACTCTCTGCAACCCTCCTGCAAAAACCTCCGACAGATTTATGGGCTAAAACACTTGTATGATAGCAGATACCCCAGGCCTTCGAAGGCAAAGAGTATGACTGCAATGGCCAACCCCTTGTGGACCTGTGTTGGAGGACTCCTGGTGCAGAAAGCCTTAAAATGTTTTGAATCCCTAGTTTTGATGTAACTTGTAGCTCCTGTCCAGGTCTGGGTTTGATACACAGTGAAGAAATGGGTCACCTACCTAGCCAAGATGTGCGTCACCAAAGGGCAGCCGTAAGCTGGGAACTCAAATTTTATTTTAATGTGTAATTTGTGTGCGAGGGGGGAAAAAAAGCTGTCTCTGCTTTGCTCTAATTAGTATTATTTTAACAATGTATTTGTTTTATCACAACATGGGTACATTTAGTTTTAGAGGCAAAAAGAAACATTACATTCTTCACAGGGGCAGGGGGAAGAAAATGTGAAACACTTTGTTGGGTTTTATAAGGGAAATTTTGCTCTGTTGCATGGAAACTGACAAATACTCTATTTTTTTCTTAAAGCATGTCAAGATTAAAAAAAAAATGGAAAAATTATTCCAATCCTCCTCTAAATCCTAGGTTATCTTTTTTAGGTGACCTTAAAAATGCATTTTATGTATTTATGTATTTTTGTACTCGTCTTGGGAAATCAGTCTTGCTTTTGGAGGACGTGGCCTGTGTCATGTACAGAGGCATGGTGCACAAAGAGTTACTGCCATTTGCATAAAAATGCCAGCAAAGTGCAAATGCTGCCTCATTAATATGAATGAGGTTCACAGGATATTTACAAATTGCACAAAGCCCCTGGTTTAAAAAAAATATATATATGTATTTGATGCAAGTCACACACTGTGTGTATATGAATCAGTTCCTGATACCAGCATAACACGGCGTGACAATAAGTAAATATAATGGTTGTCTTCATCCTCATTGACACAGGAACTTAGATTAGGTGCTGACAGTAACAGATGTAGCCCTGGATATTAGTTGAAATGAACTCCGGTATAGTATATCATGGTAATAGGCTTTGTCAATATGAAGCATGCTGCAAAAGCAGGGGCTTAAATCTGCATGAGGAAGTGAGAAGGGGGTCAGATTGGAAAGGACATGTCTTTAGTGGTGTGAGGAGGCTTGTGCCTTTCGAGGAGGTGTCGTATGCATGAAATAATAGACTCTGGAGCATTAAAAGTATTTTATTAACGAGAGGCTGTTTTTTTGGTCGTCTGTGATAATGGGAGAGATAATGTGTGTCTGCAGAGAGGCAAGGAATCAGAATTGTGGTTTAGTGAGCAGTAAAATCATGTAAAATTATGTCAGGCATTAAGACTTATTCATAATACAGTATATACAAATAAATAGAGAGAGGCTTATGCATGAAGAATGGCGCTTATCTTTCATTCATATTTGTGAATGACCCATATAGGAGCAGTATTTTCTCATGGGCTAAATGAAATATAAAATTTTTCTCTGGGTAAGTTATTTTATGCATTAATCATTGGTTTTTGTGTTACGAAAAATACAGGATCTACAGCTAAGTGGGAAAATGAATCACATCAACTTCACTCAAAGCTTAAAGGCATTTATTTTAAAATACTGCAGCCTAATTCAAGAATGCTGTGCTCTGGTATCACAGCTATTTGGCTTCACAGCAATGAGCTCATCTTTTCATGAAGAGTTACATTCCTAACCAATTCCAGGTATTAAAACAATATCATGAGGACACAGCCCTTTTTTATAGTTTAATTACTATTATAACCCTAAATATTAAACTATAATTTTATAACTATTCAGATTGCTCAGTTGATACTTCATAAAGAATGAGAATTTGAAGAGTTGGGTGGTCTGTGTTTTATTTTAATAAGAGGCAAAGCTATATTTTTCCATGGATTAAGTCCAACACAGAGAGAACTGTCAGGGTGAAAACAATAGAATTTATCTCCACTGATGTAGTTTGACATATGAACAAGAGCCTGAATTGTTGCCATGGCAATAAATGTGTAGGACTTATGCATGCATTTTCTGCTATAGGATTTTGATTAATGGCATTGACTAAACAGTCTGAAGTAGAAGAAACACTGCAGCAGGCTTGAGAAGAGAGGTGGCTGCAAGTTGGGGATGCACCCCCTACTGCACCTTCATCCCAATAAATAAAAAAAGGGGGATGATTGGAAACCCAAGGTGTCAATTTTCCACTTAAGTATGAACTACGCATTTACTGGTGATGCTTAGAGCAAGGAATTAAAACAAAATATCTGCCCCTGAGCTGTATTGAGACACTTAAAAAAAATTCAGTTTATATTGCTTTTCTCCTTCTGGGATGGTGCTTTTACTGAGTGGAGTGGCTGGAATGAGGCTTTTCTATCTTTAATGTCAGGGTAGCTCGTTAAATGTCTTGATTCAGAAGATGGATTAAAGTAGTTAGGTTTGTCTTCATTAGGATGTTGAGGCTGTGGAAGATGAGTGTTTCACTGTCCTACAGAGCCCAGGCCCTGCTGGGAGCAGGGAAAGGTGCTTTACTGTTTCAGGAGGACCTGGGCAAGGTGCAGAGGACTTTTTTGGAGGTGGCTTCATTAAGGGTTTAGCCAGAGCTTAGTGCAAAGAAGTCCCTAAATAACATGTACCTTGAACTTATTGTGAAAGAAATGGAAGGTGAAACTAATGACTTACAAATTGTGCTGACAAGGATTTTTCGGCATATTCTGGACCACATATGGTCACCAATTACATGTATTCATGGGATTTAAAACTAAAGCAAGGAACTTCAAAAACAAATGCAAACAATTCTAAAAATCTATGAAAATCTCTCATCTAAAACATGAAGGCCCTCATTCTTTACGTGGCCTTAAACATATTTTCTTCCCATATTTGTTCATTATAAGAGCTATTTGTGTTTAATCAAGGGTTCAGCTCTTCTCAAGCTCATCTGTTCCTAATCAACCCTGTCAAGGAATCAGAGTGGTAAGTTTTTGACGTTGATATGATTTCTATGGTAATAGGATAGTTGAGGAGCACAGCGTTATTATTTTATTGTAGGAGCAGGCAAAAGAAAGACTGGGCTGTGTGGGAGGCAGAGTTAACAGGGACACAAATATCGTTAGTCAGGGAAAACAAGAGCATGGGAAATGATGGCCAATTAAAGGTATTTTTGTGAAAGGACTCCCTTCCAGTTTGCCTGCATGTGAAGTTTTCTGTTCCTTTAGAAACTCAGTTACTGTAGAATCCTTGTAGAAACAGCCACTGCTTTTAATTCATAATAGGTGCTTTTCAATATTTTTGCCATTATTATTTCACAGTCTCTCGATTGTTTCTTCTGCAATTGCTCAGTATAGACTTTTAAGGAAAGATTATGTTAATTAATTTAAAGCTTTAAAACCTGTGTTTGTTTGGTCCTGAGGCTCTCAGTCTCCCACTGCCTTTGTCTCACTGCCACTAGCACCTTCCTCTCCTCCATGGCACTTGGTGACATGTATTTTTTTGTGGTCCACCCTATTTGTAGGGCTTCTGATACAGCAGTGAAGGAGCCTTGGTTTATTTGTCATGCTTGCAGACTTGAAAACCAAGTGTTTTGTTTTGTTTTAGGGTTAAGGCTGCTTTATTGGGCACTGGATGGCTCAGCTACTCTTTGGGCCTCCCTACTATCTGTTAGTGAGCAGTATGCTTGACAACTGTGATTTAGCCTTTCTGCCTCGTTTCTACGCCCTTAGCAAAGCAAGTAAGAAGAGAAGGGATACAATGACAACCTAGAGAGCTTATTTTACGGGAGAGAATGTCTAATTTCATAGGCCATTTTTTTCTTTTTCAGCTTCTGGAGCATTGTTTTTGTCTGGTCCATTGCTGTGACTCCCAGGCTTCCCAGCCTTTTATTGTGTCCAAAGTTCTACCTCATTTTAGGACACACACAGTCCTGGTCCTCCTCCTGTTCTGTGAGGTAAGTGTCCCTGCTTCCTCTGCCAACAGCTGCACTGCACTCAGGATAGGGGGTCATGCCTCAAAATAAAGGAATCTGACTGAAGTAGCTCAATCTGAGATGCTAAGTAGTCATAGAATGAATCGGGAGCAGGGAATGTAAAGAAACACCTTGGGAGTTGATGTTCATCATCAACAATATAAAGAGAAAAGGTTGTGGAACCTTTCTTCCGTCTGTACCTCAATTTGGTCTGTCTGATGTGAGATAAGGTCATTGAAATCCACTTGGTCTTATACAAGAAGCAAACTTTAAAACAGCAGTTCTTTAGTTATTTGTAGACTACTAGAAAGGAAAGGATTCAGAACAGTGCTTACAGATATCTGACTAGGAGCAAAATAATTGCTCCTGTATAGAAAAGCATCAAAATCATTTCCTCGTTTATCTCTCTTGCACTTTCATGCAACCCACACAATAGGCCAGAAGGCACTGTCTGTCAAGCTGAGCTGCTCATAAGACATTCATATTTTTGACAGGTTATCACCTTAATAAGATGATGATCAGAGAGAGACCATCCAGCTCTCTGGCAAGAAGACAGACCAGACCAATTATCCTGATTCAACCTCAAAAAAGAATGGACTCAAACAGAATTCCAAAGCCGTTTCAGGACAAGGGAACAGAATGAGAAGCTGAAGTCTTATTGAGCTGTCATCGTTGTATATTGGCCTTTGCTTATGCCAGCCAGAAGTAAGTAGTATGATCAATGCTCTGGTCATCAAATCACTTTTGTCTCCTCATTGCACAGATTCTCTCAGTTTTCTAAACCCTGTTGCACTGTTCATATTGCTCATCCCAGATGAGAATTAGGGGTAGGAATTCAAGTAACAATGAGAAAAAACAGGCATTAAGAAGAACTCTGCCCCAAAGGTTGGACTGAGGATGCACTACAAATTCATTACTGCCTTGTTTGAAATTGATTTTCGAGTAAGCTTAGAAAGAATCTAATACTTCTAAAGCTACTGAAGCAAATATCCTAGGCCTGGCACAATGTTATTTTTAGGATGGGCTGTGGAAGTGAAGCCGTAGGTGAATGATACTGTTATATGGGACACAGGGTTTCAGACGGTATAGAGTGCAAACAAATTTGGTCACAACTGCTCACATCTTATTCTGGATTTAGTTGTGGAATCCCTTAAAAATCAGCCTTACATTGGTCTTTTTCAATGTCTACGTGATGGCAAATTCAGTGTTGGCATTTTTTAAGTAGCCTAACAAAATGGAGTCAACCTGTCTACTAGACAGATTCTTAGAACCTCTTCTACTAGACAGGTTTCTGTCTAGAAACAGTCTACTTCTTTGTTCACATCAGTGCAGTCCAAAGAGTCCAGTGTTTCAAAGATATCTGATGACATGCAAAAGATACCTGGATGAACCTGAGCTGCAGTGAGGTAGAGGTAGTGATGTTTAGCAGAAAAGAGCAGATAGAAGAATTTCCAGTTGTGTACATGCGCAAGCTAGCCAGTTCAGCAATGGCCTTGGATACTAAGGCCTCAGCATTTCAAAAAAATCATTTTTGTCATCTCTGGTTATCTAAATTCCACTTCATCCCAGAGCATAAGGCTTTTGCTATGGTTAAGGTGCCTTTTTCACTTTTCAGCTGTATTACAGCAATAGCTGAAATCAGCAGTACTCTGGACAGCCCAGCAAGTCAGTCAGTCATTTAAATGTTTCCTCAGCACTGTCAAAAAAGCTCTCTCTTCATATAGGGTTTTCAAAATTTGAAAAAGGCTTTTTCTTTAAGCATTCCCACTTTTCAGAAAATCTGAGAAGCTACCAAAGATTAAGACCACAGCTGATACCTGTATTTTTTTCAGTAGAAGTTTCAATGATTAGGATTGAAGTGCACAGCTGGAGAACATAGCATTTGTTCAGTGCTCCAGCCCATGCTGTGAACTGTCTCAAAGCAAAAACAAGCAAACAAAAAAAAAACCCACCTAAACCAAAAAACAAATTCACCCTGACCTGTCCCAGATATTCATTAAACAGTGTTAGGATCCCTGAAAGGTGTTCTGGGACAACAGTACATAAATTACAGAAACCAAATAGATACTTTTGGTAAGCTGATTTTGGCTCTCATCAAGAGTCTTGGTAATATTTTCTCCTTCGTATTGTTTGAGCTGCAGCTCAGAGTCCTGCTGAAGTGCTGTCCTATGTAAGAAATCAGAATCAGGGTTTTGCTTTTCTGACATGCCCTTACAGTTTACTAGTTTCAATCCTTCCTTCCTGACACAAAATAAAATCTTTGTCTGCACTTACTATTAATAATTTCTACTCGTCATATGCCAAGTCCTCTATAAAAGTTTAATAACAACTGTTTTACTGTTGTCTAATGCTTAGATGCCAAGCCTGTACCCTCAAAAACTTAAATAGAGAATATGGAATTAAGTTTTAGATTAAACAACCTCTCGGGGGGAAATGATCCTTAGAGGAGTTTAAACAAGTGAATGGGAGATGTAGATATTAATAAAAATTCTAATATCCAGCTTTCCACATTTAAAAATTATTAGAATAACTTTTAAAATCTGGTCATATAGACTCATTCTTCTACAGTGCTAAGCACCTGGTCTGTAAATCAGACTCAGAATTGAGTACCTGAAACTACTGGGGTCACTTTTTCAATGCTTTCAGAGGAATCTTTGACAGAGCACCTCAGACCTTTAGAATCACCATATGGTACCTGCTGACAAGGTTTTATTTCTTACTTTGCAATAGATGATATTATTCCTTCTGCACAGATAAGTGCTGTTGCAGTAAAGGATGTGAGAGATTAATATGAGAGCAGCTTGCTATCAGTTCTGTGATTGCATCTTCTGTGATACATTTCACCTTGGTGACTATTGTGATGAGAAATCGTGTGGTTGCACAGATCACACTAGCTTGAAAATAAGCTTAAGGAAGATAATTTGCTCATCTTCTAATGTGTCCAGTATATATATTACTTTTATGTGTTTAAAGTAAGACAAACTCATGTTTTATAGAAAAAGTATGTACTCTTTGGTATATTTATGTATTTGTTTACTTGGGGTTTGAATTAATGCGGTCCCTTTCAAGAACAATTAAAATTAGTTTTATAATTCATGACTGAAATTCAAACCCACGCAGCAGATGCACACTTATAAAGAATATGTTGGAAAATAGAGGATGCAGGAATCCCTGCTTGTTTCTAGGCACTAGGTGTCAGCTAATGAGTTAGCCACAGGTGTATGCTAGTGAGGGGAGTTGGATTTGAAAAGCTTGTTGTATGCACTGTAAGTTCACTTTAATGTGAGTAAAAAGTTGTGCTTTTACATTAGTGATACATCATATGTAGTTATATGCACAACCTATACATCCACATGTATAGGGAATGCAAAGGGATTTCCTAATGATTCCCTGGAAATCACATAGACAGAAGGCCATTAAAGTCGTGCAGAAGATTTGGTTCAAAGAGAGCTCATCTCTGAAACTGCTTTGCCTTGGAAGTCGTGAAGTAAGCAGTGGTCTGCTGAAGTATTAAATCTGTGAATGCCTTTGGGCATTTTGCTCGCGTTTAGGGCTGCTGCCTGCTGACAGGCTTTGAATAAAGTTATGTTCTCCAGAGTTAAAACGTTGTGAAAAAAACCATTAGAGATAAATCAGGTAATACTTTTGTTGCGACCAGAGTATAGCAGAACACAAGTATGTTTGTGGTGTCTCCAAAAGTACTGGCATGTGAAAACCAAAGACAGTTGATTCAAAGTAAGGCTTTTAAACTTGAGTCTATCTCTTATGAAACTCAGATTGATTAACAGAGCAAACTTTTGGAAGTCCGTTACTCTGATGTCTGTTAGTGTGTGGAGAGTTTTCTTCGCTCTTTGTAAGCAGATATATGCTTCTTGGAACAAAAAGGAGGATTTGATTGTTTGACAGTATTAAAAGTGTCTATATTAGTTCATAGCTAGATTTGTGGGTAGAAAGAGAAACAATGTGTTTGTAAAAGGAAGGGAGAAATCTTTAAAAATCTAGCCTATCCTTTAACACCAATTAACCATGTGTATATTCAAGGGCACAGAAAAATTAAAAAAAAAAAATGTGTAATGCTTACTAGGGCATAGTTTTTCTTCCTCCATATTTTTTATTGGAAAAATAGATTGCTGATATTCTATGAATTTTCCTGCTCAAATATTTCTTTTGCAATATGTGGCTTATTTCTAAAACTAGAGAAAGTCATGCTTGAATATTAGCCTGGGGTTTCAAGTTTATCTCCCCTGATAAAGACTGCCTAGTCAAAATATTTTTAATTGAACTTGCCTTCTAGGTAGTCAGTTCTCATATCAAATTATCATGTAAACTTCCAGGGTCTATATTGTGGCATATAATTTTATTATCTGGTAATGTCTGATATGAAATTTTTAACTCTAGATAGAGATAGGCAAGGGATTGGCTATCTCTAAGATGAACTGATGGTCAATTTGATAGCCAGGGTTCCTGATTCCTGTTTTTGAAGAGCACACAGCTGTCTTTGGCTCTATTCACACTTTGGTGCCATCTTTTACACCACTAAATCAAATTAAATGATAAGTTACATACAGTAATCATATATAGTATAAATTTTATATCACAACAGGTTTTAATAATAGGTTTTTCTCTTTAAGGAAGTATCTTTGATCCAGTCTCAATGAACAAAAGATTCTGCCTTAAAAAAAAAAAAAAACAAGAACTAAAGAAAAATGGAGAAAAAAAAGCTGTTTCATTTTATATTGGAAAAATACAATGTGACATCTGGAGAATAAATTGTTCAGTCAGCCAGAAATACGCCTTGTAAAAATTGCTTAGGTTTCTGTAACAAGATTATTTACTGCGACTGTTCACCTATAATACAGCACACTTCTGAAATGGACCTTTTATGAAACACATCAAGCACTGTGGAAATGTATTCAGTGCATTAATCTACAACACTACACACTTTACAACACTTTTAGAACAGATTTTGAAACTCAGACCATCTAATGAGACAGAAAGTTTTTTCTTTATATTCATTCCAGTCATGTTTTATACTAAGACCTTGGGGTATTTAACATAATGTAATGGGGTTATTTCTTAGAAAATACAAACAAAAAATGTATTACTCTTCAGATGACTACTGAGCTCATGCTGCTCTCTGCTCGTATTTCTCTTGCACTCAAGTAAACCAGATACTATGTTTCTTGCTCTAAATCTTTATAAATATTTAATCAACTTGATTTAAGCCAAATCAAAAGTTGTCCATTTCTAACCACACTTCCATATGGAGTAATTAGTGGCAACAGCCTGATTTTGATCATACTTGCAGGAAAATTAGGTCCTGATCCAGCGTGGGTTGTTCTACTACTGCTCTTGGTATCTCAAATGAAGTAAAGTGTAAATCAGAAATAGAATGGCAAACAGATTTTTTTTTTTTTTGTAATATGGATTACAATGAAACAGCAAGGGCTTAGGCGGGGTTTTATGTTGTGTGATTCAGAAATCACTGCATTCAGTAAGGAGCACACTGAGCTGAGCTGTTGATGCAAGAGGGTAAAGCATGATTGCAAAAAAAGGGTATTTTATAGTTTTGAAACCGAATATAGAACACAGTCTTTAATTGTTCTTTTGCCTGAGAGCAGAGTGAATAATCTCTTGACTGGCAATAACATTATATGAATCATATGTTGGAATCCTTGATTCAGACCTTGTGTCTGCCATATTCT